TCCCCTGAGTGCCTGGGGGATGTCCTCCCGCACCAGCTCCGGGATGTAGTTCTTCGATAACAAAACGATACACCGTTAATCGCTACGCGATGATCACGAGTTTTAGCGAATACGAAGCGAACAGTTACCTCTATTATGTACTCGAGGGACTTCACGTAGTCTCGTTCGGTCTGTATCATTTCCCTCATTATGAGCAGTATTGTTCTGCAAGGTGAAATTCCTCGTTAACGACGCCGCGTAAACCTCGGTACACGTAACGATTCCGTATAAACCGCGGGATGGAATTATTATAGATAAACATTGTGCATTGTTCGTCGCGAGCCGAGCCACGGAACACGGAAGAACCATCGCGGTTTGCGCGAAAAGCGTAATGCGAAATTCAACGTCTCTCACCGACAAGACACGGGGGATTTCGACGTGGAAACTTTTAATGAGAATATTAATCAGACTGGCAACGGTAATTACGCGTGGCCATCGCTAATTGCGTAGCCCGGCTGACGAAAGAAAGAGGAACCAGCGTCGGATCAAGATTTTGTAGACCCTTGGCCTAAAGGTGATGAGGTACTTTTTAAATGGAGAACTCGGATTATTTATACGACGATTCAGAATTCATGAATGGCTTGGCAATTTATTCGTGGGGCTGACAGGCAACGCCTGATAGGTCCTAAGAGGTCATGAACCCCGAGGAGATACATGAAATGACACTTGGGTACGCACTTTTTGGCCTTCATGCCAGGCGCGATGCTTGCCGCCCTGTGCAGGTGCGAATTCACCGGGGGTTTCACCAGTCGTCGCGGCGCCGGACTTCTGGGCGGCGTTCTTGGTGGAGAGCAATCAAGGAGCTGCTCAGCACTCTCTCGAAGCTCTGCGATGTTGTCCAACACTGGTCGACCGCCACTTCCTACGGACCCCATGCTCTCCATGGGACAAGCGTAAGACGCGCTACTGTCGCTGTCGTCCCACGAAGTTCCTGAAAAATTGTAAAGGATTTCGGAATAATGTGCGAACTATATTTCAAATATAGTGATAACCGGTCAAATGGCCGCTTTCGAATTTTTGTATTCACTTTTCATGCGTCATTCAAATTAGTTTCACGTAAAATATTGTTGTATTTAATTGAAAGAAGTGTTTTTAAAACTAGTCATTGGTCCTATCACAGTAGAAATAGTTATAAATGAACGTCGGTAGGTTTAGTGTTAATAGCAATGGAGTTCGCTCAATACTAACTCCGATTACCGAGTAAACAATATTTTCTCGACACTAGTTACTCAACAAACTCCACAGAAAAAGTTCCAATCTAAAGCAAACGTACTTTTGGTAAGACTGTCCTCCCAGGACGTAGCAGACTCCGAGGCGGCGAAGGATCTCCTCCTGGCCGGGCTGCCTGGTGCGGAAGTAGTCCTCGCCATCTCGAGGGCTTCCGCGCACTTGTTCCTCGCGATGCGGCATTGTTCCAGGAGGATCTCGTTACCGAGCTTCTCGGCGAGCGCCATCATTTCCGTGAAATGCTCGGGCGGCAGGGGTGGTCTGGCCATCAGGAACTGCTGGGCCCTCCTCTCGCCCGCGAGACGAGCCTCCTGGGCCCACTCGTACGCGCGATCCTGCAGCAGGCAACATCTCGACGTGTCCTCGAGGTACTCGCGCCTGTCCTCCAGGCGGAAACCGAATCCTCGGATGTGCTGCTTCAGGGATCTCGCGAGCTCACGGAGTCCGCTAGCGCTCGCCGCCTCGGCAAGGTCGCTTCCTTTATCAAGATGTCTCTGCAACAGAAAATCATGGTCGTTCAAGTGGTATTCATGGCTTGTATCCATGTAACATTCATAGGAACTTGAAGTATATGTATTAGGTCGTCCTAAAAATGCTACTTATACTTTTGCTACTCAAATTAATACACGAAATTATGTGTTATAACAAATATTTTTAATCAATTTAACCAGTTTAATCAATTTTTCTACCTATATATATACTTGAATTCATGTGGGCACCTAGATAACCCGTTGCGCAAATTTGCATTTTCGCAAGATAAACAAAACGGAATAAAGTAACCTCACATCCAAAATAACCAAAGTTAACTAAACGTCAGGCTCATAAATTCGTATCTTCCCTCGCGCGACTCTCCCCAGGAGCAGTGTTTGCACAGATTTACCATGAATGCGATATTGTGTGTAAACACACATGGAACTATTTCGGTGGGTCGTGTGGCAACAAAAGGGGACGATAAAGGCCCTTCTTCTTCGTCGGTGGAAACGATATCCTGTTGTCTCTGAATCGAACTGGAACTCCCGCGGTGCGGCACGAAACTAATGGAGGGACCATAAATCGACATATGGGGAAAGAGGAACCTGGTGACGAGGCAGGGGGGGCTGTGTGGTCTCAGCTACACGGGGGACATTGTCTATTTGCGCACGGAAGCGAACAAGGGGCTGTTTACACAAAACCTACTTCATCCACAGGGTGTTCGTCTATGGTGAACTTGGCGCTCTTCTCAAGCTACGAGTCGAGGCCTAAACACACTCGCGTAATTAAGAACGGTATAGCAAACGGAATTATTCTACCACAATTGCGAATGAATATGCATTAGATCGTATTACATTTGTTTATGATGCATTAACGTAATTGATTAACGAAGCAGCCATTAGGTGGCAGATGTTTCTCGTGTGAAAGTTTGATCCAAAGTCTTCTCTTGTGGGAGACGTGAAGGGTTTTGCTAATGACTTCTCTAGCGTATTTATGGTGGAATGTCATAATTTTTGTGTTAGAATGGCTGACATATGTATTTTACTTTAATCAAATTTTTTACAGAATATGTGTATAATGGAAAAAAAAGAGTAGCAGAAAGTAGCGTAAGAAAAATTGTTTGAAAATTGAGAATGGTATTAATTGAATTCAATAAACCACAAAATTATTCTAAAAGCGTACCATATAACATCGCGATGTTTAAAAGGGTTGAATAACCCACATCAATCCACGTAACCAACAACAAAAGTTTCACGAACAATCTCTCTTCAACTGAGAATACACAGGACATTACATAAGTAAACAGTAGAAATCGCGTTACTTGGCAAGCGTCGAATGTCTCCGAAGCTGGTACCCATTTTCTTTTTAATCAACCACGAAGAAATGGTTTTCAATATATCTCACGGGACTGACTGCGCGGCCCCTTTCCACTAGGGCGATACGTACCAGCGATCATGGGAGCGTGAAATCTCGTTGGACATGGATCGGTACCATCCCGGAGCAAGGACGATCCCGATTGAGTGCCCGTGACGAAAGCACATCCCACGGTGCACGGGGCGCGCCATAAGGACTCGTTCATAAACGGAGATATATGGATCGCGCAACTGTTCGGCTTGTAGAACAAATTTACGCCTGTAATCGCGACGACCGAGTATATTTCTTCCATCCCTATGGGGCGCGTTACGAGCATGAAACCGTCCATAAATCGACGCACGTGTCGTCCCTGGAATTTCGCGTCGTGTCTGCGCAAAATGGAGAGTCCAAATCGTAACGAAAACTGCGGTAATATTTTATCATTTTTATGGTCAAATGTTTACTAGAGTTTGCATAACAGCTTTAGGAATTTTGTGTGCCAATCATAAACTTGATATCGTGGATTAGAGTTATTGCTCGGTAATTGAAACATGTGGTTTGCGATGAACTGCTTGATCGTGTTGGGTAATAAATTACTTCTGGATCGAAAGATGAAGTCAAAAATTGGCGTGATTGGAACTTTCAGCACTAGATTGCGGATTTGATGTATTTGTGGCTTGTGATACTACGGGAAACATACGTACGCAGTATATTAATATTTTAGATACGTTTGGTATATGTGATTCTATAAAGACATAAAATCAGCTGTTTATTCGTTATTAACCCTTTTAGATCTGGCATCCACAATTCGAGACACAAAAATGAAAAATGATCGACTCGCGTTGCCAAAGGTACATTTGATTAAAGTTTCTTTGTTTCACAATCGGTTGAACCCGCCGTCGCAGGACCTCTTCATAGGGGAAGGCTCTTCCTTTCTGTTTGCTCTTTCTCTTCAAGGCACGTGGCCGGGGGGTCCCTTAGGGCCTCAAGCCATCGGAAGCACTTTTCTCCGCTCTCGGAATGGAGTACGCGAATCACAAGCGTGACACGTGCGGCATTATGCCGTTTGCACCGTTAACGACGCACCGTGGACACCATTGATCCAAGTTTGCCGAACGGTTAACGAACGGCGTTAACGATCCTGGCAATTATTGTGTGAGCCTCGCCGCAAAATTGATCGTTATCGCTGCAATTTTATTCAACTTCATGTAAGAAAGAATGCGGATTCTCGATGCACAAGTGAATCGAGATTCTCTGTATTGAAAACTCGACGTGTGTTGGGAAAAATATGTATTATTATACGATAGCAAATGTTCTAGTTTCGCTCGGAAAAATAGAACTTCTGCTTTATATGTAAGTAATTGAAAAATGAATTCAGTTCTTAACGGATGTTAGAGAGCATCTCGACTGTCGCGATATTGGGTAAAAGGATTCCTGGGGTCACTGTTTCACATACGCCAGTTTAAAAGAATGATTATCGTAGATTTCATCTTCATGCTCTGTTTTTTATTAAATTCATTTTTCAAAGCTAGACAAGATTGAAAGAAATCTAATGCCATAAAAGTGAAGTATCAAAAGACTCCAGATTAAATACTAAAATGTGTAAGTCTCAAAAGCGACTGAACCCGCAGGCAACGATGCTTTTAATCATTATCTACGATTCGTCGTGCCGATACGGGTCGTCGAGCAAAATTAATGCACGTGGGAAGCTGGAAACGCGTAACCGGGACGCTTGACGAAGTTTCAATTAGGATATTGAACTTCGCCGTCGAAACGAATCGGTTCGCGTTGCGTCCGCCCGCCTGATTATGAATGGCTGGCGCGATGGGTGAAATATCGCCAGGGGAGGCTGGCGAAGGCCTCTTCCTCGTTCCCTGTCGCGTTTAATCAACGAAATCATTTGGTTTCAGGGCGCGAATCCCTCGCGGGCGAGTCTAGCCTCTCGGGCAGAGGTTGGAAACCTTCCGACATTAAAGTGCTGCGCATTACTTCATGGATTTCACGCTTCGTGTAAGTACACTCAATTTTGTCAAAATCTGTGTTGCATATTTAATTTTGCCTTCACCTATTTTCTTCCACTATATCAACCAGTTCTATGCCATTAACGAAGTGCCTCATACATTTATTTTTACACTGAAACTACTGAAAATTAAAGGCAGTTCATATAAAAAGTTTTTTATTTCAAACATCAGGTTCGAAATTAAAATTATGTAGCAAATTCCTCTGGAGTCTTTCCGCTCTGAAGGAGTTCAATGTCCTTCAGACATCAGACTCCCTAACCCGGCTCTCTGCTAAAGTATCGAGGGTGATTATCGATTGCGAACTCGAGTGGAAATTCGCCCGCATCTTGACGAAAGTCTCAGCGAACGAAACGGCCCGCATCTAATGACGAAAGCGTACGAATAATACCACAATCACCGCTTCTATCGCGTCCTCGTTAGAGAAATCTTTTAGACCTAGGAACACCGTGAAAGTATGCGTGCGCATACCTCATTTCCCCGCGTTTCCATATTTGTAAGCACGTAACACTGCGTGGCTTGTTCGCAGCTACGTTTAATTAATTCACTGGAAACACGATAAGTACACGATATGGAAGTGAATGAAAGGTTTTTTAAACTGAAAAAAATATATCTACATTGATAAAGTTTCTACATTCTCAAAAAATTTCTATAGTTTAAGCTCTTAGACATTTTGTGACACTTGAACATTTTTTTTCTGACAGAAGTATTGGACATATTAATTTCGTTCTTTGTGGGTATATTTATTTATAGTTTGCCAAGCAACAGAAACTTTTCAGGATCATAAAAAATTGATTCTGTCGAAGTAAATCATGCTCACGTCTGGTGTGTGTGCACAAGAACATATGTCCACTGAAACTGAAGCTATAGTTAACTAAATATAGTTCACTCCCACCGCGTCTTAAAATAGAGATCGAAGTGTCAGCAGTATTTCTTGCAACATTTCTTAGCCGCGAAAAATCGTCGTCCCAGCCATTAAGCAAATATTATAGTTACATAATCGAGACGATCGGTTCATCGTCTGGACACAGTTGCATATTCAGAACGCATCGAGCGATTGGATGGTAGGTCCGAGGCTGCAATTACGATCCATCGATGATCGTCATCGTCGGATCGTGACACGACAAACATCCGAGCCGTAATTACATAACGCGCTCGGTAGACAGACGCAACAGGAAAATCTCAATACAGGCAGGCTCGTACCTCGTTATTACGCTGGAATGTAGAAAGGCGTCTCTCGTCGGTGCATAATTGTCCAAGCGTGAAAGCCGATTAGGCTAAAAAACGTGACCAGCCTCGTTGGATCGGAACGGGTGAACAACGCGAGCCCATTAATCGACGGGTATAGACAATTAACGCGATAAATCGGCAATTAACGCGGCCTGGAGTCGCGACATATTATTATTAAGATAACCACGGCGCGAGCTGAGGAACAGAGCTAGCCAGTGATTATTACGTGATTAGCTCTTGTCATAGTCACTCGCAATTGTCGGATCAATCAAGGATCATAAACTACATTTGTCAGCTGCGATTGTGAGTCAAGAATTAGCAGGCTTCCGGGGCTAATCGTGATTGTTCTTTGATCGTTAGTCATAATTGCTGACCATTCGTTAATGGATTGCGAAATTTGTGCACTTCTAACCAATACATACGTGGAGGATGTACTATGTACGGAATATTTGCACTGATGCACAAGAATATATTATTGTATTGTTTTAGTAAATATACTGGTCAAGTATTGTTAATTATTCGTATATCAATCATTATTGTGGACCATATTTTGTCCAACACGTTATTACGTAATCGATATTTATGTAAGTTTTTTTACGTGTAACACACAGATATTAATTACATCATAACTTACATGCAACACGTAAATATCAATCACATCGCAATATCTACAATATAATAGTGCAAATAACTGTCCAATGCTTTATTGCTAACCTACTGCTGTAAAAACTTAACGCGCATTTTATCCGACACTGGTACCGATTCCTTCAACCAGAAAAACCCTCGTTTTCCCCCAGTACCTCTAATAATTTGATCTGCGACTGTAGATATCGAGCTTTTTTCGTCGGACCGTTGGACTCGTAGTCGTTTATCATCGACGCGTGTCGACGTGCTTCCGCGTCCACCGACTTTCTTCCGAGGTCGAACAGTCGTTCTGCTGGCGGCCGTCAGCTTTTTCAAGATTCTCGACTATCGATCCAGACGTGTCGTTCAGATAGAAAACACGTGCCCGACTGGTATTTCAAATTTATTATAGTATACATCGTACTCATTTTTAACGAACAGACTGAAATTGATCTTGCTCTTTCTTCGACACTTTCAATTTGTAATCAATCTCTGTACTTCCCATTATTTCTTCTGTGAAGTTCATGAGAGTTCATGAGAGTTCATTAATAGTCTAGAACGAAAGGCCTCCCTTCCATTGATATGCATCTGTTCTCATTAAAAATATTTCTCCTAAATTTTTGTTAGGACTCAGTCACTGAATTTATTTCTTACTAGCTCACAAGAAATTGCAGAGTTTGGGTTAATCAACAATCTCAATCCTTTACTTAAACTGATCGATCTGCAATCCCAAAATCTCTAATTTCTATTACAATAATCTTCCATTCATTAATTCCTAATTTCCCTTGTGCGAAACGACGTACAAAGTTCCACGTGGAATTTTTAACCAAAGCCTGAACTATCATTCATGCTATCCGACTCAATGTAACTCGAAACGTCACAGAATTGCACGGATTAAAATAGAGGATCGTCTAAAGTGTCCCAGCAATGATTCAATCAAGTTATTAGCGAAATAATCGGGGCTCTGGTTTCTGATGGACCCCAGCGTCTTTTTCTACCAGCTCGATACGCCATCATTCTACACCGCGAGCTTGACACAAATCAAGTACTCGGTACACGTGTCAAATGCGCAGCGTAAACGAGCTCTGAGAGGTCGGGGTCCGGTTTCGAACGGTTTTCCTAGTCAGACCGGAATTGAGGATTGCGAAAAACACGATTCTCTGTTTCCACAGCGGGCGAACCTGCGACGATGAACGTTCCAGCATTTCCTCTCAGCTGGAGCGGGTTTAGGTTGTTGACCATCGTAGAATTTCATGCGAGAACGTGGCGTCTACCAGTCCTGGGGCAAGCACGTGGTCATGGCCACACCGGAATTTCAAGTCAACAATGTCAGGTGTCGGTGGTTGCGGGTGTCTACGAGTTCCTGGGGTTCTTTAGCGACTTGCTTAGAATGCGTGGGTTCTAGAATTTGTAGAATGCATCCTTTGCAATAACGTCTTCTAAATTACTTGAAAAATAGTAGAAAAATGAAACACTATGAGAGGAAAATAAAATGAGTACCCCCTAAACGACAAATTAGTAATCGAAGTCCGTAGTTTCGAAATCAAATCGAGGTCCTCGAGTCGCAGACTGTCGCCATTCCCACAGAGCTGTCTGCATCTGTATTCGTATCACGCATCTTCTTCGTCCGTTCCCATAAATCAGCGCAGCTTTCGAGAACTGTCTTCCAGCATTAAGGTGTCGTGAAGTATTAATTATTCGTCGCATTTCTTCGCACGTCTCGGTCGATGTATATCTTTACCTTTTTACAAACGATCCTTGGCCGCGAATAAACGTGAAAGCGAATATTTCTAGCCGCAAGTATCGGCGGCTCGCTCTTTGCACTTGCAGCGAGAAAGTACCAGCGGAATTTTCTTCGCGTGGAACTCGTTCGATTACGTTCGAATCTATGGGAAGTGAAACGTTCTAAATGCAATTTACCCGGCTCCCAGCGACAATCACTTCCTTTCGGTAATCGAACAATCTTTCAACGTTAATGGTTAAATCCTCGATGCATGGGAAACGCGAGGCAAATACGAACAATTGCAAATCAATGTAACGAGATTTGCTTGTCGGCTCTATTAACGACTAAATCAGTATTACTTGGACGAAATATTAGCGTAGTTATTAGCTACACTGTCGAAGAATTTTATTAGAGAGGTTTTCGAGCGTGAAGATCAATGGAAATGTTTACTGGAGAGGCAACCGATCCGATGGGTAAAAATCGCTTTCCACGCGGCTTCCCCTCTGGATTGAAAAACGAAAGCGATCGTGACAAGGCATTGTCTCCCTCGACTCGAAGTTCCTCTGCAACGAAGCAGACGGACCCCAACGTAGCCTTCCCGGTAACAAATCACCTGCCACGATAACTTTCTCCTATCGCGATGGCACGTTACCGAAACGGCAGAAAATTCCACGCGGTTTACCACCGTGCACGTGCACCAAACCCTGGCGTGATGGAAGTCTGCAAAGATTTACGTATGTAGAAGACGAGGCGATGGTGCACTGTGAGCCACGACGGATTCGTTCAACGATCCGTGGATACCTATTCAGACCCAGCGATGCCTTCAATATATTAACCTTCTAGTGCACGAATTTTATTTCATCTTTCAAAAGAAAAGAAATGATTTTTGCACGTTCCTCGCTAGAAGAAGTATACTCCATCTTTCTATATATTAGCTTCACTAAATGCATTTTACATTTAAAAAACTCAAATTACAACCAGTTTGTCTAAGGATTCTAAAGACAAATCTAAACTAAAGAAAAATGAACGACAACTTATTTAGGGTGCTACGTGAATTTGAATCTTTCTGTGGCACCATACGAAAAGTTGCAAAAACCTCGACTATGAAACTTCGTTCCCTGAAGGCAGGAGCTTTCCTCGGGTCAAAGGGCAAAGAAATTCTGTGAAAGAGGTCGATCGTTAGGTGCCGGCCATATTAGAGAGGACATCGACTGCGGTTGAAAGCCAAGCATTTTACGATCGTTAAATCGGAGCCATTATGTTCAGGAAAGGGTGCCGCGAAATCCTATATTTTTCTCGCAACTCGAAGAAGCGGAGAATACGCGTGGAATATTGTTATTGCCAGCTGGATTAGAGTTATTGCGACGGTAATTGCTGAAAGTAAGAGTCCTCTCTGCACGGGAAATCGCTATCGT